ACCACACCGTGCAGTATCGTCTTATTAAAGCAGATATCGACCGCAGGGATACCACCCTAGAATGTCAGGGCATTGCTATCCGGTCAGGCGATGTTGAGCTCGAAATATTTAACGTTTACATACCCCCTGTCACTTGCTGCAGGCAGGATATCACCCTGATATATGTAGGTGCGCTCCTCAGAGGTGAAAACCGTATGGTAGTAGGTGACTTTAATGCGCACCACGATCTTTGGCACTCAAGCCTGTCAAACGATCGAAGGGGAATTGACTTGGCCGAGCAGTTAGACGATTCGACATTCTGCACAATGAACTACGACGCACCCACCAGTATTATGGGCAGCTGCTGCAGCTCGCCAGACATAACAATAGTCAGCGCTGATCTGATAAACATCGTATCATAGCGACCTATGCTGACTTTGGTATCAGACCATCTGCCCATAGTCATCTCGATCAATATACCAACCGACTTTGCTTCCGCGGAATACCGGACCTATATAAACTTTTCTAAAGCTAATTGGAAAGGCTTCGCCGAATTTACTGAGAGCACCCTCGCTGCGCTCCCCAAACCAACCGACCTTGGTGAACGTAAGTTCCGCAGGGTTGTCAACGCTGCTGCAGCTCGCTTCGTACCGGCAGGCTGCGTCCCGGACCCCCGTCCAAACTTCCCTGCTGAAGCGGCTGTTCTAGCCGATGAGCGCAAAAACCTTCGTCAGGCCAATCCTGGAAACCCCCGTATCAGGGATCACATCACGAAGATTTGGCAGCTTGTGAACGTACATAAGCGGAAAAAGTGGGAAGAGCATCTAAAGACTTGTAATTTCACCTCTGGTGTGAGTAAGCTTTGGTCAACCGTGAGGTCACTCCCCAATTCGACAAAGCACGACGACAGGGTCGAAATTTCTTTCCCAGCGTCGAGTAACCAGAAGGCTGCACAAAACTGCCAACAAATTGTGCCCTCCTTGCTAGCGGTGAAGTTGAGGTGGCCATCGGGAAGGCGAAAGCCTCCAAACCCATGGTTCCCGACGGAATATGCATGTTGATGCAGAAAAATTTTGGTCCTGCGGGAGTAACGTACCTAACGGAGGTCCTCAATATGTCAATGGCCACTCTCATCATCCCAGTCATATAGAAGGTGGGGAGAGTGGTCCCACTGCTCAAACCTGGGAAACCAGCCAACAAAGGAGAATCTTATCGGTCGATAACACTCCTTTCCTCGGTAGCAAAGACACTAGAGCCTTGCTGCTCCCGTATTTCACGAACCCCCTGACCCCAGCGAAGCATCAGCATGGTTTCCTTAAAGTGCACAGTACAAAAGCACTTAACGCCATAAACTCTCAGATAACACGTGGCCTTAACCGCAACCGTCCCTGTGAAAGAACTAGTCTAATAGCGTTGGACCTATCCAAGGCTCTTGACACCGTCAGCCACTCCACGCTGCTAAAAGATATAGAGGCTTCCTCTCTCCCACGGAGGCTCATACGGCGGTCGACGAATTATCTGAGTGGTCGACACTCGACGGTAATGTTTAGAGACAAATCGAGCAAATTCATAAAAATAAAACAGGGGTTGTTGTTGTAGCAGCATATAAATTCCCCAAAGAGTTTTTGAGGAGAGTTGCTGGAGTGACAGTCCTTGGCCAGATATAAGTCAGGGTCGTTCCGGTTACGTAGACCCGACTGTCGTGGGAACAGAGGGTTCCACAGGGTGGTGTCCTTTTCCCACTACTGTTTAATTTTTACATTTCAAAGCTACCTCAACAACCAGAGGGAGTCTCGATTGTCTCTTACGCCGACGATTGCTCGATCATGGTGACAGGGAATGAAATTGATGACTTGTGTTCAAAAGTAAACGGGTAACTCTCCGAGCTTTCTCTCTTCTTCGCTGCAAGGAGCCTAACCCTCTCCCCTACAAAATCCTCTGCGACCTTGTTCACCCCCTAGACGAAGGAGGTCATGCTACCGCTGGGAATTCACGTCGATCAATTCCGATGGTAAATACTCGGAGTAACCTTCGACAGTCTGCTCTCCTTCTCTGCGCACGCGACCGCCATTTTCTACGAAGTACAGAGCCGCAACAAGGTCCTCAAGTCGCTAGCCGGCAGTACTTGGGGCAAAGGCAAAGAAACGTTGCTGGCAACGTACAAAGCAATAGGCCGACCGGTTTAAATTACGCAGCACCAGTGTGGTCGGCGGGGACTAGTAGGACGCAGTGGATAAAGCTGCAGACGACGCAAAACACCGCACTACGGTCAGCGACTGGATCTCTCTACTTTCGCCAGAACACCACCTGCTCGACGAGACGAAATTGCTCCCGAAAAGGAGCATAACACAATGCTCCGCAAGCAGTTTCTTGTTGGGAGCCATAGACGTGGTCACCCAAATAGGCAACTGCTTGCAGAAGAGCCCTCACCCAGGCACGTCAGGGGGCATCGCTACGAACTGACGGACGAAGTCCAGAGGTTCATTTAACAACCTCTGGACCCGTCAGCATATCGACAGGCTTTGAGCGGCATTCACAGAGAGTCAGTCTCGAGTTATGTAGACTCCAGACCTGTAAATGCCGTTCTAGGCGCACAAACCCCGGACATGATGAGACGGAGCTTCATCTACCTCGGGAGACTAGAACCACAATAGCCCAACTTCATTCTGGGTACTGCAGAAGGTTAAACTCATACCTGAGCAGACTAGTCAAATGAGTGTCCGGCATGCGGAGAGACACCCCATGACTCGAAACATCTCTTCGTATGCCCGGAAAACCCGACAACCCTAACGCCTTTGTCCCTGTGGACCAACCCTATTGAGGCTGCACGCTTCTTAGGCCTTCAGTTAGTGGAACTTGACGACAACGACTGAGATATCAACCGATCTGGGCGGGGTTGTTGTGGCCGCTACAACAACATAACTACCAATGCATGTGCTGTTTAGATTAAAAAAATATGCAGATTTTTTAGACCACGGAGCACCCGGATTTTCGGATATCATTACCAGTAAGTACCTAATCGGAAATGCATCAATGCAAAGCATCAGTATCTTGTATTTCTAAACTACAATTGATACAAATGTTCCGTTTTTTTTCAAAAAGGTGTACAACAAATGCAAGAAACTTTGAAATACCCTCTAATAATTCGTCGGCCAACAAGATCATAAAAATATATTTTCAAAATGCTTTAGGTCTTAGAACCAAGGCAGAAGATGTACGTCTATTTAGCTCACTTTGTGAGTATGATATATTCGTAATAACAGAAACTTATCTTAATGCTCAATTTTTTGACGCCGAGTTGTTTGATCCAAAATTGTATGATGTTTTTCGTAAAGACATAGATCCGAACAAAACGGGTCTTAGTATAGAAGGCGGTGTACTTAAAGCTACGCGATGTAATATACTAGCTTTTTCCGTCCCACTAAAGGATGATAACTCTCGGTTTGATTAACTCTGTGTGCGCCTTCACAGTAATTTCGGTCTAAATCACATCCGTGTGTCCTACATACCGCCATGCAGTGATGAATCCACCTACAAAGCTCACGTAGACAATATACTAGCGCTTCACAACGAGACTGGAGAGCATAAGCTTTGTGTGTTGGAGACTACAATCTAAATAATTTAAATTGGGCCGTTTTAGACAATAATTTATTTTTAAGTCCCACTAAGGTGAGTAATTCATCAGAAACATATTTAGTTGATAATTTCTTGGGTACTGAGCTAGTTCAAGTTAATATTTTCCATAATACTTTGAATCGTCTACTAGATCTTATTTTTCTAAGTCATGATATTAAGTTTAAGTTATATCCCCCGCCGTCAGCTATTTCCGCGCCTAACTTACATCACTTTCCACTTATATTATAAGTTGAGTCTATAGTGTTTTTAGAGATTCCTAGGGAGAATCCTAAGATGTCTTTTCACTATAATCGTTGTAATTTTCGGACTTTAAATTATATCTTATCTGGAATAAATTGGGACATTATCATAGGGGGTGGTGATGTTGCCGACTGTTTCAGAGTATTTAAAAATACTGTTGAATTATGTAAACAACGTGTTCCTATTTATTCAAAGCATCCTTATAAACGCCCATGGTTCTCGAGAGAGCTCAATCGTCTAAAGAACCTTAGAAATAAATTTTTCAAAAAGTTCAATATGTTAAATAATCCGAGGCATTATGAGTTATATACTACAGTTGTCTACAAAATAATAGGAGTGGGATATTTTAACCTGTTTTGGCTATTTGTCTTTAGTTTATTTAATGTTTCGTATTTTTTTGTAAAAGCCTAGCTGGTAATACAACAAACACCATATAAATTTACATTTTCAAGTTTGTACAAAAATTATAAAAATTCTGCAAATTTTCATCAAAATTTTAAACTATTTAACCAGAATCTTTAGAAAATATGTTGGTATGCAGTTTTATAGCCCATTCAATTCTAGTCTGAAGAAGTGCAAGTTTCAAGCTGCTAAAAAATTCCGTTGATTTTTGGCAATTTTTTTTGCTGGCACTGTCCCCATATAAAAGAAAATTGTCGAACATACTTTGTATGGAAAAAACGTGAAACACCTTCAACCGAAAAAATTCTCAAAAATCAACGGAATTTTTTAGCAGCTTGAAACTTGCACTTCTTCAGACTAGAATTGAATGGGCTATAAAACTGCATACCAGAATTTTCTCTGAAGATTCTGATTAAAAAGTTTGATATTTTGGTGAAAATTTACAGAATTTTAATACTTTTTGTACAAAGAATGAAATATGAATTTATTCGTTGTTTGTTGTATACCCAGCTTGACTTTTGTATAAAAATAATAAACATTAAGTAAACAAAAGGCAAATAGCAAAAACTGACAAAAATAACGCACTCCTATTATTTTGTGGACCACTGTATATATAAATATAAATTTTATAAGCTTAATAAGGTGCGATATAAGAGTTATGTGCAAAATTTTTGGCGCATTTGGTGCGCATTTCTGAACAGGGGTATATGGAATCTTGGGAGTAAGAACTAAATTTAACTTACTTTGGTGTTGGGATTCCTGCTTCATTGAGTAGAGTGTAAGAAACGTGCTCCTGTACATTGAGACTCCTCTTCTGCAAATTACCAGCGGTCGCAAGTGCAAGAATCTACAAAACATTCAAATAAATTGAATTCAATATAATGACTTGTTACAAAGGGTACGATTCGGGTATTTGTACAATGATTTTAGGTTGTATCTAAACGCGTGACCCGAATCAACAAAATTTAACATATATGTACGTATAATCAAAGGATTAAACTTTAATTCAAAACAAAAATATCAAATTTCCGAGCACAAATTTGTTAATAAATGAGAGGGTTATTTTTCCTAAACACGACGTAAGGCGGCCAATTCGCAAAAGTGTTCCGTGCAAAAATACTGTGGATGGCATAACCAGAGTCAGGGTGTCCAGATTGTTTTAAAAAAAAGCGCAATTTCTAAAAAAAAACCCCAAAAATCGCCAATTTTTTTGTAAATAAAATTCATGAAATCGATTTAACAATGGAATGGGCGATTTTTTCGGGGAACTGGGTATGTTATTTTTATATCTTAAAGTAACCAAATTAGACGGATATGTTAATTTTTAACCATTTGACCCTTTTTGGAGCGATATTTTTTCAATTTGAATAGCAATATCTCCACAACAAGAGTTTTCCCAGATATAAACTATATACCAGATGAAAGCTAAGGTTTTGGGTTAGACTTGTGGAAACCTAGAATAAAATCGACTGAGCAGTTTTTGAGAAAATGCCCAAAATCTCTATTTGCAGCAGCCTGATATTTAGTTTTCAGGCGATAACGTTATGGCGTATTTATATTTTATAAACACAAAAGATAGCGTTAGATAGCTTGTTTGAAGACCCTTCTACTGATATCCACATCAATGACATGGAGTAGTGCGGCCTCAGTGGTAGTTTAAAAAAATTTGCCTTTTTTCGAATATCAGGTAGCAGCCACGCCCACACAGGCATATGAATCAAAACATCCTTGAACAAAACCTTCTTAGTTTTTTGTGTACTTTAATTCCTGAAAGTTTGAAAAAAAAAATTAAATGATGGTACGTACAGACGCCGCACACATACCAAAGCATCTCGTAGTGGAGACACGAACAAAAACACATTTACCTCTATATCTTTCCAACTAGTGGCCGGAACTTAATATATAAGGTATCGTTTGAAAGGTATTGGCCTATAGAATAACACTAAATTTGTTGGGTGTGCCTACATGCCCCCTTAAACCGGCAAAAGCAAAAAAACGTTTTTTGTTTCGCAACACTTTAGCCTGATTTTTAAGAATCCGGTTAATTGTTGATGAAGCTTGAATACATTTTCTGGACACACTCTGCAAGACCTTTCCAACGATAACATGTTGTGTTGTTGTTGTAACAGCATACAAATTCCCCAAAGAGATTTTGGGGAGTGTTGCTGGAGTGGTGGCAGTCCTTGGCCAGATATATATCTATCTGGGTCGTTCCGGTTACGTAGACCCGACTGTCGTGGGAACGACGATAACATGTCGATTGGACGTCTGGATAAAAACTTCCAAATCACGTGTATATACATATAAGCGAGTCATTTCAGCATGCTACTGTTGCTGCTTTCGTCACTAGCGCGCACTGCCGTGCGCTGTGATCTAACCTTGTATTATTGAATCATGGGTCCGCCACTGGGTTTGAGAGTTTGTACTATGTTTTGGGTTGCTGTGCCCAAACGCGTGAGTCGAATCAAAAAACGTTTACACACACTTGTAGACAACAGTTCACGCTTTATTACAAAAATTTAATTTACTAAATCTGTGCATTAATTTAACAATAATGTCGGTTGGAAATATGGTATTTGTTGCAAATTTTTGTTATAAATTTGTATATACATTTTTATATACAAGATATTTTTATAAAACACCCAGTAACCAAAATAGACATCACTGCGGCGGCAGCCCCAGGTTTGCCACACAGAAAGGGAATTCTAGTTACCACATCCTTTCCCCAAGGTTATATCACACAGAAAGGAAAATCCACGTAGTAAGGGTTATAATCCCTAAGCCCTGCCGAAGGCCGCCTACGCAGAAAGGTGTTCTCTGCAAAAGGTGTTCTGCCCCCCTTCTTCGGACGCAAGTTTAACTATGTTTTTTCCTTGCAAAAAATCTAAAATTCCCCTATTTTCAAACAGCTCCCCGGAGGTCTGGGGGTGGGGTTGGGAGGGGAGGGGTGACTTTTCATAAAGCGGCGACAATCCTCTTTCTTTAAGGGGGGGATTTGTGGGGCCCACACCACCTCCCCCACCCCTAAATCGTTGTACAAATAGCTAAACATTTCCCAATCATTACACAAATAACCGAAGATTTCACCTTAGTAATTCCCTAGCGATTTCCTTATTTTGGGTGGGGTTTAGTAGCTCTCACAACTATTTCGGGGAATTCCGTCCATAGGGGTGGCCCGATCCAAAAAAAAAGGGGGGATACGCCTTGTTAGAAAGCGGGGACTGTCCCCTTTCTAGTGGGGGCGGTTTGGGGGGCTCCGCCCCTGGCCCCTCCGCCCCCACCCCAAAAACGATGTGAGCGCTACTAAACATTTCCCCTTATTTTTCCTACTCTACTTATTGAAATGTGTATGTTATAAAAATTAAGTCCAAGTGAATGAAGAGTATTACGTCACGGATAAAACCACAAACAGCTGAGCTTCCTCTATCAAAAATTGATAAAACTCGGGCTTCGACAATTAACCACCTTCACCTTCAACTCAAGAACAAACAATCCACCACTCAACCATTATGTAAAATCTTGGAAAAGTTTTCACCATACCTTTTGTCCGACCTTTGGATTCACAATTTCAGTAAAAATACCCGCACGAGTCAAGAGAGCAGCCATCTTTAACTATTTTTACAAATAAGATATATACAATTTCTCAGTTTGATGTTCACGTTTATAATTAAATCGAATAATATATAAATCGTATATAAATTCGCACCACCGAAAAATGTCAACCGTGAAATGAACGATCCGTCTGCGTAGAAAAATCGAACCAAATGTCAAACTAAATAGTGCTGCCAAATTGATACAAATCACTAATAGTCTTTGGCGAGCACTACACGTTCAATATTTGGCTTTGTTTCTTTTCTTTTCTTTTCTAGCAGATAATTATTAGGAAGAAGAATAATGAGAAAATTGAAAGAATTTAGCTCATAGAGAGCGAAAAAATGGAAAAGTAGAGAAACGCAAAACTAACAGGAACTAGCAAGTAATCAGCAGATCGGTGTATTTGACTATTGAAAATATTTGGAGCGAATTATACTTTATCCATTTTGACAGCTGCTAGTTTCTGCTAATAAAAATTTTACTAGTAGAAATTAGCAGGAGAGCCAAAAAAAAGAAGAGCATAAGAACGAGAGAGAGCGGCTAGTTTCTGCTAGTTTTTTTGGGTTAAGAAACGCTTTCCAGAAGAAATTAGTGATAATTATCTGTTAAGAAACAAAGCTTTTATCACAATACTGGCGTTCCAGATGGTTTACTATTTGCAGGAAGCTGTTCCATGTGGCCACCTTCCATAAGCTTTATTAATGGCGAAAACAGCTTTTCCCGCAAATCGTGAAGCATATGGAACGCAACTAATATTTGGATAGGAACACGATATTGAACCGAAAGTATCGATAGAGTACTCGTTTAAGGCTGATTCACATACAACTTTCTTCGCTTTCCTTGATAGTTCTTTGCTTTGACATATAAGATCGATGTAGGCATATGCATGAGTATGCTCACATAAAAAACGTTTGAAGCAAAGCAAAGCAAAACGAAACAAAATCTTGGGCAACTCTCAACTTTTGCCCGCTTTGGCAATAAGCTGTCTACATGTATCTTTTCTCGTGCGCTTGCATTTGCATTTAATGACAAAAATAGGATAAATAGGAATTTTTATTGCTATTATTAACGCATATTATTATATCGTTATCTATTTTACAGATAAATAAATGGAGGAAAAGGAGAACGCAATAGCTGTCAAAGCGTTTATTGTAGCATACCTTCAGCGTTTCACGCTTTGTTGTCAAAGTTTGAACTGTCAAGCAAAGCGAGGAAAATTGTATTTGAATGGCCAATTAAGGTTTCGCTGTATCGGGATCCATCAATAGCGGGATAAAAAGACTCGATATTCCCAACATCGACACCAAATTGAGAAAATTAACCCCCCTATTCTAGAACCCGAACTTTCGTAATTTGTAATTCGTAGCTACGCTGCGAAAAACGAAAAATCCACATGCTGCAACCCTTGCGGAAATATGTGCAGCATTGCCAGCTATCAGTTGTTTTTCGAAGAAAGCTGAATGAAGGAAAACAAAGTGGAAAGGAATAAAAAAAAAACACTCATCATGTGCTTGTTTATCGCAAAATTGGTTAATTTTAAATTTTTTGAGGAAGATTATGGATTCTGATGTATTTGCAATTATAGCAGCAGAGAAAGCGGGCGCTATGGCAATGGATTCACAAAGGTATGCGGAGCTGTCGAGCATAGTAACCATGGGCGCCTCTAAGTCAACTTCTGGTTGAATAGTTGAACCACAAGCCAGATCTCCTCCTATGCCTGAAGCTCTGGTCTCAATCCAGTTAATGCAATAACAGCTTCTTCCAAGCCATTGAAAACATGCACTTTGTTAGGTCCACCACCTGTTGCGCTTGCTTCTGCCTTCGGCCGCGCTTAGGGATTTTAACCCTTACTAAGTAGAATTCTCCTTTCAGTGTTGCGGGGAAGAGGGGCTTCTGCATGCCAAAGGTATACAACATTTCTTGTGCATATCACTACGGCTACGCCGTCCACAGTGTTTTTGCGCAGAACCCACGACGAAATTTGCAAAACAGTGCGTAGTGCAAACCGAGTTTATTAATAAGCTAGTGGTAGGAAATTCGAAACATTTATCTTAAATAAAATATGAATCCTTTTATTACACGTGTGTGTTAAAGTTTTTGGATTCGGGTTATGCGTTTGGACACAACAACCGAAAATCGTTGTACATTAACTAAACCGGACCCAAGTTTCTCGATAAGGGGTAACAAATATTCTTTTTTGATCGTTTATATAAAGCAGTGGATAAAAATATACGTATATGCAAAAGGCAAATTTATCTGTTTAAATGAACACCACCAATATTTCTAGCAAACACACATCGATTTACATCTTTTATTTCGCCTCCGACACAGAATTGTTTTCGTACAAAATTACGCAAAAAAGCTTACTCATTCGCATCGGTGTAGCCAGAATGAAATTTAGGGGGGGAGGGGGGGCGCGGCTCGACCCTATTAAGCTGGCATTTCAGGGTACTATTTTATATATATATAAGGAAAATTTGAAAGTTAGGGGGGGAGCTCGAGCACCCCCCTGCCCCTACCTGGCTACGCCCATGCTCATTCGTTTTTAGGTATGTCATTGTTACGCATTTCGAAAGTTCGAAAATACGATTCGGAAAAATACGAATCCGAATACGAAAGAGTTGCAGAATAGGGCTGTAAATCTGAATTTTGGTCTCACTTTCGAATAAAGAATGAACACTTTGAATTGTTTGCTTATGTATGTAGAGGTAAGTGTGTTACAGGTCAACCTAATAACGGCACCAATTTACTGTCCAAAATTTTGTGTAATGGAAACTAACACATTCTCATTTATCTTACTAACGCATTTGCAAATTTTGCGTTGGCTAAAAGGAGAACAATACATAAGGACATAAGTTGAAGGAAGACGGTAAGTCATATGTACGCAAATTTTTTCATCACGTTTTTCATACTGCTCTCAAAAAGTTGATGGAAGTACTTGATTGAGATCCCCATCGCCAGCATGATGCAATATAATAAAATCTGGAAGATCGTTCGCAACAAAATTTCAAATAAAATTATAGTTTAAAAAACTAAAACTTCCCTAATATAATTGCCATTCGCATTTGTACAAAAATGGAAGTAAACAACGAAATATTTGAATATGTATAGATTTTAATAATTAGAGCGTGTGTGAATCGGTAACAAAGTTCGCGGCGAGTAAATTTTTGACAACTATGAGGTGAAGAAAATTTCAGTAGCTCATGAGGCTAGTAAAATTTTTGACAAATGCATAGAAAATTTTGACAATCACAAAGATTGTTGATATGTGTAATTTTTCCTCAAATAAAAGCTTGGATTGATGAATTGCAATCAACAGTGGTAAACGTTTTCTTAAAATATTAATTTCACTTCAATTTGTAATATTTTATTCCGCATAAATCTGCGGCTATCAAAAATTTACTACTGTCAAAAAAGATTTCATTTCACACAGCAGATTGGCAAAACTGTCTCGCCATAGTAAACATATTACTCAACAGCTTTCCCCATAGAACTTTGTTTCCGATTCACACACGCTCTTAGTTAGTGATATTTCAGCCAAATAAGTGTTGTACAAATGACATGTAAACAAACCGACTGACATTTTACCAGGAAATAGTGCTTTTTGCGTTCCCATTCACTTCTGTTCTCCTTATACTCTCATTTGAGAGAGTAAAATTGTTGTTTGACAGTTCCACAGGTTTTAGTTCGAAGTTCAAAGGAACAGACTAATTAATGATCAATCAAATTACTATAACTGTTCTTGTAGGGCATACAACTTTTATGTGACGAACCGAAATTGAACAGCGTAGGCATGAAGAAAACTCAATTTCCGATTTTTGTTCTCAGATCAGATGCTAGCAACAAATTCGACTGCGTGCGTACCAAAATTGGTGAAAATGTTCCTAATTGCCAATTAGGTGCCTGTTTGAACATAGTCTAACAGCCTTATTCGCGTGCACTGGAAAAAATTCTCCGCTATAACTATTGTCATGTTTATAATCAATTGTCACGCGGTGTATTTTATTTAAAAGAAATCCCGTCTGTTGCAGTGGCGGTTATAAAGAACAATTAAAATGTAAACAAAAAACAGCTGTTTCACTGTAGAGAAACTTTCGCCGCAATTGGCAGTTAAAACGAGCTTTTCGCTTATCATTATTGACTGTGCATACCTATGACAACAGTTGATGACACGATAATGACAATTGAACTGTGACAATTGACGACAGTGCGGATGAACGAACACCAGCACATAGCCTGGAGAGCTTGCAAATACAGCCACCGCAAGTGAACGATACTTGTAACAGCTCATACTGATGTTGACTTCGGCAAACCAGTATTCCGAGTGAACGTGCACGAAACCAGCAACCACCAAGGCGAATTTATACAAGGTAGTGTTACTGGCGAATTTAGATTACAACAACGACAACCATATGTATTTTGTATTGAGGGTGTTATGTCAAATCTCAATTCGCTCCAAAGTTTACATGTATTTGGTTTTTGCTTTTGATGGGTGTACTGTCAAATCAGTAAAAGCAAAAACAAAATACATGTAAGACGAAAAATCAGCTGATTTTACAACACCACCTTGTATAAATTCGCGTTGGCAACCGCCGTATTTTATTGACTGCCGAAAGCACAATACTGCATTTGGCCGGTTGCCGAAATCATGAGAGCTCACTTGGACGGTTGCCGAAAGCATGAGAGTTCATTTGGACCAGTGATCGTACTTCTACCACATTGTGGTAGATCTTCCACTTTATTGAGCATCTGCCACATCTACCACTCTAGGTCTGAAATCAACCACATTTTCGCGTTTTTGAGTGGTTTTATTTTTGCTTGACATAATTGCCTTAATTTTAAGAGCAAAAATTGTCCAACGCTAAACACTTATATGGTAACAAAGAATGATATAATACAAGATTCCGCATTCCCGGCGACGATGAAATTTCTTAAGTAAAAGTAAACAAAGCCGAATGGGAGGATTAAATAAACTGTAAAATGTAAATATTCTCAGTAATAAGTTTTTCGACAGGAAACGCGGTTTCATTATGTCAGACGGGACTTTGCTCCGATCGGAGTCGATTACTCCGATTTCTTTTTTAAATTTAAAATCTCCGTGCTCCGTGTTTTTTACTTTTTTCCATTTACATTAAGAATTTATTAAAAATAATATGGTAACTTTTTAA